TAAACTAATGTTCTGTTATTTGGTAAATAAACTGTCTTTGCTTGTAATGAAGAATTGATGCTCATTGTCAGAATCAAGATTTAAAATATTTGCATGGTGACAATAAAAAGTATATGTCAAATTTCGCTGTGAATTCATTTAAACTGCTGCCTACACATCACTGTGATGGAATAAATGTAAGAATTGTAATCCTCTTTCAGACATTGTAATAGATGTCAAAGAGTTGAACTATTGAGGCGATTAACATGGTATAATAAAATTTACGTTGTGATGACCACCTTTAATGAACAACATGATATTCAAAGAAAACACTCCAGCTTAAATGCTTTGCTTTTTTTATTATGCAATGATGATATTTATCACTAATATTAATCATTAAACTATGACATTGTTATATCAGCCATTGACGACAACAAGAACATAACAGGATGAATCACTTCAGCTACAGAAGAGCTATGGTCAGTTGTAAGTGACCCACAGTAGGGTGAGAATCTCAACACTTGTAGAGAGTGTTGATCCTCAGGATGTCGATGGCAGACAGGTCCACTCTCTGTCCGATCTGCACTGATGCATCAGGAATAGGAGTGATGGTGTCCCGCCCGTTGATGGAGAAAGCGGTTTTCCCATAGTGCATCACGGAGGAGTAGTCGTATGGGGTGTTGAGGTTGTTGGTGTTCTCCTTGTTGAAATTGTACTGCATTGCTGGCGAGATGTTTTCCCAGTTGATCCTCACGTAGCGGTCGCGGTCACTCCTGGTCTGCTCGTGGTAGAAACCCAGCGCGTGGTTCAGCTCGTGCTGGACGATGCCGTGGTACACGCAGCCGTTCCTGTTCAGGGAGACCACCTGCTTCCCACCTGATCTGCCCACTGGAGAGTAGCACCTGAGAAGAAATGGAGAAGATTGTCCACATCACTGAAGTAAAGCTGTGGACAGTTAACTTAAAACAGAGTAAAGCTGATCTAAAAGCTCTTCAGATGGTTCAGCTGGTCTCACCCATCTCTGTTCTCAATGCTGAGGTAGTCAGTTTCAGTGGTTCTGAGAACAAAGCGAATGCAGGTTTTGCTGTGGAAAGTCGCCATGGCACCGGCAATTACAGACCTGTCAGAGGATGCTGTAAAGGAAATGATCAATAAACAATCAGATAATAGCATTAATTAGATAACGGGAAATGTAGAATGTGAAGAACAAACTTTTACTCACAGAAATCACTGCTCACTGTGAAAGGAACCTGCACTAAACCAGTTGAGGACTTCTTCCAAAAGCAGTTGTTGCTGGGGCAGACCAGAGCGTTTCTGGTTCTTGGGAGGACTATGTCTCCCTCCACCAACAGTTCCCTGGATCCTTCACACACAGATGGAGATGGAAATTTGATTAGGAAAAGCAGAGTTTTGGAAAATGTAGTTCAGACATAAACAGTGATCATCTAGAATCAATATAATCAGCAGGTTATCTGACCATTGTTAGTGGTCAGAATGGTTTCTGTGATGTCCACATGCTGAGGTTCCATGAGCGGGACAGCCTGCGAGAGGCCGAGCAGCAGCAGGGCTAGAATGGAGAGAGAGGCTGTGGGCTCCATGTTGCTTCAGTGAGTGGAGATGATCTGGATGCTCCTTCACCGTAGCTCAGTGTCTGAAGCCTTTCGTACCTGGCCTTTTATACACATGGACACTCATCGGTGTGGCTGTCTGGGGATTGAAGCTAGGCTCTAGTGTCCACTGTCTAATGTGTTTATCTAAAGGGAGGTCCTCTGGACTCAGATTGTTAAGACTGGACATATCTCCTCTTACTCAGCATATATCTTCTTTTGGGTTCCTCATGGTTTCATTGTAGGGCCTATTTTATTCTCTTAAAGTCCCATTTTCTATTTTCATTGCTCTGTTGCTACACAGTTCTACTTGTGAGTGATACTGATTCACACATTCAATTTGTCTAATATGTGTAACTAGAGGTAGGAGACTCTGAACCCACCAGCTGCTCTAAAACCTTACTGAATTAGTGTGGTTCTGAGTTTGTTTGGTTAATCTCCACTAATGGTCAAGTGTTCTTTGTGTGCTTATAGTGGCCTCTTATTTTTGGGAGTAACTCGAACGGTAAGAAGTTCTACTCATACTTGTAATCTTGCAAAATCAACCAGTAAATACTTACAATGCTATAATAAAATGCATCACAGAAATGTTAAAGTTCTCTTTAAGAATTATATGATGGAGACATTTGAGTTTAAAATAAGAGCCTGAAATTTTGAAGCTTTTTCATTTTCAGGCAATTTTCTTGAAATATTTGAAAGAAAAGAAAAAAAATTAATAAAGTAAATAATTGCAACAGACAAAATTTGAAACTTAAAATAAAAAATATATATTATTCAATAATCAATACTTTCACCTTTTTAAGAAAGCAATAAAGGAAAAGTCAGGCTTGTTAATTTCTAGTTGTGTTCTTTAGAGCTCAAATCTGAGATGAACGTATTAGTCTTAATTAAATTACAAGTTTAATTTAAATACATTTCTACTGCTCAGGATATAAGCTAGCTTGCACTCTCCTCTTATAATAATTCTAGTTATTATTACAAAAGGTGAAAAGAAGCAGGAACGCATGTTTTATTCATGTCATTTAAAGGTGTTTGTTATTTAATTTCAGACAAAAAATCTGGTCCTCAGTCGTGAAGTGCTTAGAAATGAATGAGAATACATTTATTAAGATGTTTACAATTAATGTTTGTAAATGGCAGTGAATTGCCAATAACATCTAAACAAATGTTTACGTCTGTTTATTTGGGTACTGAAACTTTAAGACAGTTTTTCAACCTATTCATATTATTAGTCCAAAATTAATAAATAAAAATAATTGTTAAAAAGCCAGCATTTTTGTAGTTGCACCAAATGATTTTCTTTGGCAAAAGAATTTTTGGTAAAACTCATTTTCAATATTCAGAATTTTCCCAGAAGAAACATTGTTTTCAAAGGAATGTAGATATTTCATGACCTACGGATAATATCACATCTTATTTTCTGTATTGTTACTCACTGTTTTAGTTCTGTCTCATTTGTCTTTATTTTAAACTCAAACTTATAATATTACAGTAATCATCACTATCTGTTTAATAACACTGGCCACTCTGTGGCCAAGTTTGTTTTTAACTCTAATGATACATTGGTATATACTGGTCTCTATTCTGATCAGAACATTCTTCTCCAAGAATTTCCAGATTAAAATTCTCTAGATTCCACCATAAATGCAGTCCAACTCAAACTGTGGAGTCGGAAAACAACTGACATGAAAATCGTTTTATTAATGTTATTACATGATGTTCTTACATATTTTATAAAGCCATTAAATATCATAACATTTCATTTTTACATTTAACCATCAACTGCTCAGAGGTACACTTTGATTAACCTCAGAAAAACTCTGATGCTAATGCTGATGATATACAGTAGTATAATGTGTTCAGACTGGATCAAAACGTTGTAGAAGTTTATTGTGTCTCATGTGTAACTAAAGGGAGGAGCCTGTGAACTCACCAGTTACTCTTATATCTTACTGACTCATAGTGGAATTCTGAGTTTCTTTATTGCTCATTTTTATTAGTGAATAAACTGTAGGTTTAGGTAATTCCAAGTCAATTGGCTCTATTTGTTTTGTATGAGGCATATTTGTCTTTAGAATGGTAATCCTCTCAGAATATTAAGATTATGACAGAGCAATGACATGTTTTATTAAGATATTGCACGTTTCCTGATGTAAAGTAATACCTTTTTCTACACAAAATTCCACCATCATGAGTGCAAGAAGAGTGTTGACAGCGATGTGTACAATTACTGTTTTATTCAAGTTTCATTGTATGTTTGATTTAAAATTTCAAACATTTTTCATGAAAGTAATAGACAATGTAAAGGACAAGATGTACTTTCAAATGATGTCAAAAATTAAAAATTGAGGAAAATGGAGATACTAGGTTTTGCTCCAATAACAGCAGTATGTTGATAATATTTTCATACATCAAAAAATGTAAAAACAGCCAATAGCAGAGGTGAACATGATTGGTCAGTGCCATTTTGTCACCAGGGGACGCTCGCAAGAATCTAAAAGAGGGCGAATGAAATAATTTTGTCGTCTGAAAAATCGCTTGGTGTGCAAGATACCTTTAGTTATACACGTGTGCTGTTATCCAAATACATCACACAAAGGAATCGTCTTTGGTGGGCAGAGGTCTTATGTCTTTGAAGTGCACAAAATATTAAGAAAAGATCAGAGCAAAATCAAAAATATTTCATTTACTTATTCAGGTTCATGATATAGATGATGTTTTATAATTTGCTGCTCATCATTCTACTGGACATTCAGAGACCTGTGTTTAAAATGTGTACATGAGTTTTTACGTATGGATAGACTGTTATGTTAGAATTTTGAGCAATTCTGTAAATTCAAACATTTTTAATTCTAATTTGAAAATTTACCTTACATTATAATATCTATCAGTCTAGTGATGAAGAGTGATGACTGAGGTTATGTTAAACTAATGTTCTGTTATTTGGTAAATAAACTGTCTTTGCTTGTAATGAAGAATTGATGCTCATTGTCAGAATCAAGAGTTAAAATATTTGCATGGTGACAATAAAAAGTATATGTCAAATTTCGCTGTGAATTCATTTAAACTGCTGCCTACACATCACTGTGATGGAATAAATGTAAGAATTGTAATCCTCTTTCAGACATTGTAATAGATGTCAAAGAGTTGAACTATTGAGGCGATTAACATGGTATAATAAAATTTACGTTGTGATGACCACCTTTAATGAACATGATATTCAAAGAAAACACTCCAGTTTAAATGCTTTGCTTTTTTTATTATGCAATGATGATATTTATCACTAATATTAATCATTAAACTATGACATTGTTATATCAGCCATTGACGACAAAAAGAACATGACAGGATGAATCACTTCAGCTACAGAAGAGCTATGGTCAGTTGTAAGTGACCCACAGTAGGGTGAGAATCTCAACACTTGTAGAGAGTGTTGATCCTCAGGATGTCGATGGCAGACAGGTCCACTCTCTGTCCGATCTGCACTGATGCATCAGGAAAAGGAGTGATGGTGTCCCGCCCGTTGATGGAGAAAGCGGTTTTCCCATAGTGCATCACGGAGGAGTAGTCGTATGGTGTGTTGAGGTTGTTGGTGTTCTCCTTGTTGAAATTGTACTGCATTGCTGGCGAGATGTTTTCCCAGTTGATCCTCACGTAGCGGTCGCGGTCACTCCTGGTCTGCTCGTGGTAGAAACCCAGCGCGTGGTTCAGCTCGTGCTGGACGATGCCGTGGTACACGCAGCCGTTCCTGTTCAGGGAGACCACCTGCTTCCCACCTGATCTGCCCACTGGAGAGTAGCACCTGAGAAGAAATGGAGAAGATTGTCCACATCACTGAAGTAAAGCTGTGGACAGTTAACTTAAAACAGAGTAAAGCTGATCTAAAAGCTCTTCAGATGGTTCAGCTGGTCTCACCCATCTCTGTTCTCAATGCTGAGGTAGTCAGTTTCAGTGGTTCTGAGAACAAAGCGAATGCAGGTTTTGCTGTGGAAAGTCGCCATGGCACCGGCAATTACAGACCTGTCAGAGGATGCTGTAAAGGAAATGATCAATAAACAATCAGATAATAGCATTAATTAGATAACGGGAAGTGTAGAATGTGAAGAACAAACTTTTACTCACAGAAATCACTGCTCACTGTGAAAGGAACCTGCACTAAACCAGTTGAGGACTTCTTCCAAAAGCAGTTGTTGCTGGGGCAGAGCAGAGCGTTTCTGGTTCTTGGGAGGACTATGTCTCCCTCCACCAACAGTTCCCTGGATCCTTCACACACAGATGGAGATGGAAATTTGATTAGGAAAAGCAGAGTTTTGGAAAATGAAGGTCAAATATAAACCATGCAGATTTAGAATCAGTAGAATCAGCAGGTTTTCTGACCGTTGTTGGTTGTCAGAATGTTTGCTGTGATGTCCACAAGTTGAGGCTCCATGAGAGGGACAGCCTGCGAGAGGCCGAGCAGCAGCAGGGCTAGAATGGAGAGAGAGGCTGTGGGCTCCATGTTGCTTCAGTGAGTGGAGATGATCTGGATGCTCCTTCACCGTAACTCAGTGTCTGAAGCCTTTCGTACCTGGCCTTTTATACATATGGACACTCATCGGTGTGGCTGTCTGGGGATTGAAGCTAGGCTCTAGTGTCCACTGTCTAATGTGTTTATCTAAAGGGAGGTCTTCTGGACTCAGATTGTTAAGACTGGACATATCTCCTCTTACTCAGCATATATCTTCTTTTGGGTTCCTCATGGTTTCATTGTGGGGCCTATTTTATTCTCTTAAAGTCCCATTTTCTATTTTCATTGCTCTGTTGCTACACAGTTCTACTTGTGAGTGATACTGATTCACACATTCAATTTGTCTAATATGTGTAACTAGAGGTAGGAGACTCTGAACCCACCAGCTGCTCTAAAACCTTACTGAATTAGTGTGGTTCTGAGTTTGTTTGGTTAATCTCCACTAATGGTCAAGTGTTCTTTGTGTGCTTATAGTGGGCTCTTATTTTTGGGAGTAACTCGAATGGTAAAAAGTTCTACTCATACTTGTAATCTTGCAAAATCAACCAGTAAATACATACAATGCTATAATAAAATGCATCACAGAAATGTTAAAGTTCTCTTTAAGAATTATATGATGGAGACATTTGAGTTTAAAATAAGAGCCTGAAATTTTGAAGCTTTTTCATTTTCAGGCACAAATTTTCTTGAAATATTTGAAAGAAAAAGAAAAGAAATTAATAAAGTAAATAATTGCAACAGACAAAATTTGAAACTTAAAATAAAAAATATATATTATTCAAGAATCAATACTTTCACCTTTTTAAGAAAGCAATAAAGGAAAAGTCAGGCTTGTTAATTTCTAGTTGTGTTCTTTAGAGCTCAAATCTGAGATGAAAGTATTAGTCTTAATTAAATTACAAGTTTAATTTAAATACATTTCTACTGCTCAGGATATAAGCTAGCTTGCACTCTCCTCTTATAATAATTCTAGTTATTATTACAAAAGGTGAAAAGAAGCAGGAACGCATGTTTTATTCATGTCATTTAAAGGTGTTTGTTATTTAATTTCAGACAAAAAATCTGGTCCTCAGTCGTGAAGTGCTTAGAAATGAATGAGAATACATTTATTAAGATGTTTACAATTAATGTTTGTAAATGGCAGTGAATTGCCAATAACATCTAAACAAATGTTTATGTCTGTTTATTTGGGTACTGAAACTTTAAGACAGTTTTTCAACCTATTCATATTATTAGTCCAAAATTAATAAATAAAAATAATTGTTAAAAAGCCAGCATTTTTGTAGTTGCACCAAATGATTTTCTTTGGCAAAAGAATTTTTGGTAAAAATCGTTTTCAATATTCAGAATTTTCCCAGAAGAAACATTGTTTTCAAAGGAATGTAGATATTTCATGACCTACGGATAATATCACATCTTATTTTCTGTATTGTTACTCACTGTTTTAGTTCTGTCTCATTTGTCTTTATTTTAAACTCAAACTTATAATATTACAGTAATCATCACTATCTGTTTAATAACACTGGCCACTCTGTGGCCAAGTTTGTTTTTAACTCTAATGATACATTGGTATATACTGGTCTCTATTCTGATCAGAACATTCTTCTCCAAGAATTTCCAGATTAAAATTCTCTAGATTCCACCATAAATGCAGTCCAACTCAAACTGTGGAGTCGGAAAACAACTGACATGAAAATCGTTTTATTAATGTTATTACATGATGTTCTTACATATTTTATAAAGCCATTAAATATCATAACATTTCATTTTTACATTTAACCATCAACTGCTCAGAGGTACACTTTGATTAACTTCAGAAAAACTCTGATGCTAATGCTGATGATATACAGTAGTATAATGTGTTCAGACTGGATCAAAACGTTGTAGAAGTTTATTGTGTCTCATGTGTAACTAAAGGGAGGAGCCTGTGAACTCACCAGTTACTCTTATATCTTACTGACTCATAGTGGAATTCTGAGTTTCTTTATTGCTCATTTTTATTAGTGAATAAACTGTAGGTTTAGGTAATTCCAAGTCAATTGGCTCTATTTGTTTTGTACGAGGCATAATTGTCTTTAGAATGGTAATCCTCTCAGAATATTAAGATTATGACAGAGCAATGACATGTTTTATTAAGATATTGCACGTTTCCTGATGTAAAGTAATACCTTTTTCTACACAAAATTCCACCATCATGAGTGCAAGAAGAGTGTTGACAGCGATGTGTACAATTACTGTTTTATTCAAGTTTCATTGTATGTTTGATTTAAAATTTCAAACATTTTTCATGAAAGTAATAGACAATGTAAAGGACAAGATGTACTTTCAAATGATGTCAAAAATTAAAAATTGAGGAAAATGGAGATACTAGGTTTTGCTCCAATAACAGCAGTATGTTGATAATATTTTCATACATCAAAAAATGTAAAAACAGCCAATAGCAGAGGTGAACATGATTGGTCAGTGCCATTTTGTCACCAGGGGACGCTCGCAAGAATCTAAAAGAGGGCAAATGAAATAATTTTGTCGTCTGAAAAATCGCTTGGTGTGCAAGATACCTTTAGTTATACACGTGTGCTGTTATCCAAATACATCACACAAAGGAATCGTCTTTGGTGGGCAGAGGTCTTATGTCTTTGAAGTGCACAAAATATTAAGAAAAGATCAGAGCAAAATCAAAAATATTTCATTTACTTATTCAGGTTCATGATATAGATGATGTTTTATAATTTGTTGCTCATCATTCTACTGGACATTCAGAGACCTGTGTTTAAAATGTGTACATGAGTTTTTACGTATGGATAGACTGTTATGTTAGAATTTTGAGCAATTCTGTAAATTCAAACATTTTTAATTCTAATTTGAAAATTTACCTTACATTATAATATCTATCAGTCTAGTGATGAAGAGTGATGACTGAGGTTATGTTAAACTAATGTTCTGTTATTTGGTAAATAAACTGTCTTTGCTTGTAATGAAGAATTGATGCTCATTGTCAGAATCAAGATTTAAAATATTTGCATGGTGACAATAAAAAGTATATGTCAAATTTCGCTGTGAATTCATTTAAACTGCTGCCTACACATCACTGTGATGGAATAAATGTAAGAATTGTAATCCTCTTTCAGACATTGTAATAGATGTCAAAGAGTTGAACTATTGAGGCGATTAACATGGTATAATAAAATTTACGTTGTGATGACCACCTTTAATGAACATGATATTCAAAGAAAACACTCCAGTTTAAATGCTTTGCTTTTTTTATTATGCAATGATGATATTTATCACTAATATTAATCATTAAACTATGACATTGTTATATCAGCCATTGACGACAACATGACAGGATGAATCACTTCGGCTACAGAGGAGCTGTGGTCAGTTGTAAGTGACCCACAGTAGGGTGAGAATCTCAGCACCCGTAGAGGGTGTTGATCCTCAGGATGTCGATGGCGGACAGGTCCACTCTCTGTCCGATCTGCACTGATGCATCAGGAATAGGAGTGATGGTGTCCCACCCGTTGATGGAGAAAGCGGTTTTCCCATAGTGCATCACGGAGGAGTAGTCGTATGGCGTGTTGAGGTTGTTGGTGTTCTCCTTGTTGAAATTGTACTGCATTGCTGGCGAGATGTTTGCCCAGTTGATCCTCACGTAGCTGTGAACAAAGCGGATGCAGGTTCTGCTGTGGAAGGTCGCCATGGTGCCAGCAATTACAGACCTGTCAGAGGATGCTGTAAACGAAACGATCAATAAATAATCAGATAATAATGTTAATAAATTAGACTTAGTTAGTCCACCCTGCAGGACGGGCCGTGCGGTGCGCTGTTTTAGAGCGCGGGGACGATATGCTGATCACCAGCGGGAGACACCCCTTCCTGGGGAAGTATAAGGTACTGAGGACCTGTCGTACAGTTAGGTTCAGAACTTTGCCTCCTGAGTGGTTTTATAACACTGAAGCGTGTTTTCCTGTTTTCTCAGGTTGGTTATATGAATGATGGCACTATTCTGGCTGCTGATATAACCTACTACAGCAACGGGGGCTGCACACTGGACGAGTCTTTAATTGTGAGTCTGCTTTTTTAGCAAATGTGCAAAAAAACCAATATTTTGTTGTTTACAACATTTAGAGTCTCATTTGTAATCTAAGCATTTATACCAAAAATTAAGCTCTAAAATAATGTCTACACTTCTAGTTGTGTATAGTTATGTCGGTTTTTATTGTACTCTATTGTACTGTATTGTATTGTACTGTACTTTTATTATCACATAATACAAATATGTATAAATAATTGAATAGTTCTTTAATGTATGTTCTGTTAGGAAAAGTTATGACTACTTTCTGTTTGTTCAGGCGACAAAAAAGGACGAAAACAGCAAAAATGACAAAGACTGTACAAAAAGACTGTGTAAATCTAATATTTCTCCTAAACAGGACTTTACACACAACAACAACTGATCAAATTCACATCATAATAAAATATCTCCTCTTCTACTTACAAACACTAAACTGGTATCTATTAAACATTTAGAATCTGCACTTTCCACACAAACTCTCCAGTGTTTCTATGAACTATGAGACAGAAATTATTCATGTAAAATTACAGCATGACTCCGTGATCACTGGAGATAACTGTAACTTCTACGAGCCTTTAGGACGAAGCAGGGGGCAGTTTCTGCCCTCCTACAAGGCCTTCAGAGGCTTCGGCGGCCCCCAGGGGCTCACCATCATCGATAGCGTTCTGCACGAATTGCCGGCTAAATGTGGCTTAACTGCACACCAGGTGAGACTGAGGACAACAAGAGAAGGCTGTTTACTGTGGTTAATACACTTCTTACTGTTTCATAAAGAGCTGTGTTTTTGGATGTCAGTCATTATTGACAGCAGTGAACAAAGGCAGAACTGAATTACAGCCCGTCTTAAAGTAACTCTGAAAACTGAATTAAGGTAACGTTTTGCCCCAAATGTGGTCAGTCAGCCAAGATATGTTTCGTGTCTGAAGTTGCTTCTTTAGTTTTAGCACTGGAGCTACAGGCTAATGTAGCTAACAATTAATAAGAGTTTATAACCCACCAATTAGCATTAGCATACCCCACCGATTAGCAACCAGCATCTATTTCATTGCACACAGGAGCACTAATGACCAATAACTTTAACCTAATAACGGCTAATAACTTTAAACAATATAACTTAATATAACCATATATATAACTTTATATACCCTTATAACCTTATAATATCACCTTATGTACCATTATAACCTTATAATATAACCTTATAATATAACGAAATATAAGTTTATGTACCCTTATAACCTTATAATATAATCTTATAATATAACGAAATATAAGTTTATGCACCCTTATAACCTTATAATATAACCTTATAATATAACGAAATATAAGTTTATGCACCCTTATAACCTTATAATATAACCTTATAATATAACCTTATAATAAAACCACATATACGTTTATGTACCCTTATAACCTTATAATATAACCTTATAATATAACCTTATAATATAACCTTATAATAAAACCACATATAATATTAATTATGTACTCTTATAACCTTACAATATAACCTTATATACCCTTGTAATATAACCTATATATATAAAACCTTTAACCTAATAACTTATAAATTTAACCAAACTAACTGCCATTCACACCTCTGTTGTTAATGAGCAGGTTGGTGATTGGGCCATGTTCAGATTTGCATAACATAGTTACTGTATTCATTATAAAAATAGCTGTAAATTTACAGTATATTTTTTACAGTAAAATGTTGGGTTTATTTAGTGTCATACTGTAAAACATTGTCATTTAGAGTGATGCATTGCTTTATAGTCACATACCAGTCAAAACAATGCATAGCGGGAAGTCTGACAGTGTATTTACTGTGAAATTTACAGTAATTTATTGGTCCATAACTGTTAAGCAACTATGCAGTAAAATACCATGAAATATTTACAGATTACTACTGTAAATGTTTTACAGTACTTTACTGTAAACATTTCTGCTGCCAGGAATTTTACAGTGTAATGCTATATTGTGTGCTCAGCTACCAATTTATGCTTAAATCAAACTACAGTATCACTGCTGTACACTTAGCAAAGATGGCTCTTCAAGGGTTCTTTGGTAAAGACAATGGTTCTATTTAGAAGCATGGGTTGCACTTAGAACCATTTAGCTTTAATGGCTCTTTGCATGGTGAAATCGTTCTTCAGATTGATGGAGAATGTGTTGTATATGGTTGTGGCACCAAAAAGCGTTCTGCTATTGTTACAAGCCTTTTTGGTTTAGCCTTTTTTAATATTTAATCTAAGTTTAATATTTAATTGAAGTTTGATATTTAATCTAAGTTTAATATTAATTCAAGTTTGATATTTCACCATCAGTATTTCTAGACAGTGTGCCTCACTGTGACAACCAGCCCCGCGTTCCTTTAGTATCAATTAGACGTTTGGACTCATAGAAGGTTTTTCTTTGGTTTTACTTTTTTCCACATTTTTGGACCAACATACGAGACCAAAAAGTGTTTAATCCAAACTTTCTGTTTCAGATGCTTTAGTATCTGTGAGTATCTATATGTTTAGTATCTATATTGAAAATTACTTGGAAAAAAGTCTGGTTTCACATTAAAAGTAAAGTAGTTTTTTTTCCTCTCCTGTATATATATATATATATATATATATATATCTATATATATATATATATATATATATAATTAAAACATAAACCACGTCCAAGCATTTGACTGGAATTTTTCTTTTGAGCCCAGCTCCTCAATAAGTAGGACAGTGACTCAGCAGGTTCTGCAGCCAGCAGAACTTTGGCATGAAGTAACAGCAGAGAGAGATTAAGAAGCTGTGAATGAAGAATTACTGCAATCCTCAGGACTAACACGACTATACTGTAATATTATAACATAATAACAACACGTTTATCACTGTGGCATTGAGGTAGACGTTCACTCAGTTACCATCATGACAATGTAATTAATAAAACTAAGACGTCTGAATGGAGTGCATAAAGATTGAGTTTTTATTGTGAAACATATCTGATTAGTTACAGAACAGTCACCAAGTCACGTGTCAGATCTTGAATGATAACAGATTGTGCCTGATATCAAACTAATGTTTAGTAATTACAATTAAAGAAATATTACACTGTGAAGGCCAAAGTAGAAAATTAATTGTGTAGAAAATAGAAAATTTAAAACATATTCAACACTAATACTGAAGTCAACAAATCAAGTGTGCTGGTTTAGTAGAGAAGGCTGAGCTTCCCAGGATTCTTAATGGTTTTACAAGTTATTTTCAGTTAATTGTTATTTTTAGGCTAAACAATGTCTAAATGCATTGAGTGTTAATTATTATTAAAGGTTTAATTAATATGACTTTGATGGAAATTAAAAGTTAACTTTAACATGTATGCTTTGTATGTTGGAAGGATTTATGATCATTTTAAAGAATAAAAGTCTTTATCTGTAATGATGTAACACATTCAAAGGCATCTTTAAAAGTGATTGTATAGCAGACCGGTCAGACTTTTGGGCAGATCATGGCAGCTCCAGAGCCCACGGCCGGGACGTTTCTGTTTCTGCTTTCGGAATCTGGAGAAAAATACAAAAAATTTGATACGTGAAACATAAACTCACTCAGCAAAATAAAATTAATTTATGTAAGGAAAAGAATTCACAGTTTGCACAATATTAAAAACATGACGTAACTTTCTGTGAACTGTTTCTACCTGATCAGCTCGTTTGTAAGTAGAAAAGGAAATAATATATATATATATATATATATATATATATATATATATTTAATTTGAGGAAACATTATTAATATATGTACAATCTAGTTTTCCAAAAAAGAAAACCTGACCTTTACATTTTTGCTGTTTTCGTCAATATTTGACATTGAAACACATGGAAAAGAGCCAGAAGTTCAGACTCAAACTTGTCCATAAAGATTAGAAAAATCAAATGCATAACCTTATATATTATGTTTAACATGTATTTTATGTACAAATATAATAATAGTATTTACATAAATAACTAATGTAAATTGAATGTACAGCCAACCGGCAGTAATAACTATAGATTTCTAACAGTAAAGACAGCAAACAAGCCTCATACAGATGTATGACTGAGAGTTTAATCCACTGGTTTAAATCAGGTTTAAATCCCACTTTATACCGGTAACAGTTTTCGAATGCATCACATACCATCTGTGTGAAGCGTGTGCTGCACGCGACGCAGGCCCGGTCAGGTGTAGCCGGGCTGTGTAAAGTGAATGGGCCGCTCAGTCCCGCGTCGCTCCGAGCCGCTGCCACCGCCTCCTTCAGCGCAAAGAACACGGAGCTGCCCAGAAACACAGTGGGCTCACCAACACCCTGAAACAAAGAGTAAACAACAGTAAACAACTCTGCAAAACAGCCGGACTACACTGAGCGGCCAAAACAGGACGAGCACTCATAGAAGACATGAACAATGTTGATTATATGTCAAGATCTGAGACATATTAGACAGTAAGAGAACAATCGTTTCTCGAGAACGTTGTACGAGGGAGAAATGGGCGGGTGTGAACACCTGATTAACTTGGACAAGGACCAGATTGACTGGGAAGGAGCATCTCTGAAACGACAAGGCTTGTTGGGCGCTTCCAGTCAGCAGCACTGAGATCCTACAAACCACAAACCAGTGACAGGGTGCTGAGTGCCCAAGGCTTATCAAGGCTCCAAATTCCCCAGATCTCAATCCGATCCAGCATCTGTGGGATGTCCTGGAACAAATCCGATCCGTGGCAGCTCCACCTCACAACTTACAGAACCTACAGGACTTTCTGCTAAAGTCTTCAGAGGTCTTGAAGCGTCCCTGCCTCAGGAGGTCAGAGCTGTCACAGTGTAATAGGCAGGTGGTCATGATGTTATGGCTCATGGGTGTACAGAACAGTGGACGTACCTTTGAGGAGTAGATGGCGTGCGGGTTGTGGGATCCAGCCAGCAGGTACACGTTAAACTGCAGCGGGACGTCGCAGACCGCAGGGATCTTATACTGACCCGGACCGCGGGTGTACAAAACTCCAGATGGGGAGAACTTCAGCTCCTCCATAGTGTAGAGCCCCAGACCCTGCATGAATGCACCTTCAATCTGGAACACACAGACACACAAACACGCTTAGGAAAGATGGTTCTTCAAGGGTGCTTTGGTGGTTCTATATAGAACCATGAACACCCAGAGAACCCTTTCCATGATTAAAGAGATCTTGGCATCATGAAATCGTTCCTCAAATTGGAGAATGTGTTGTAGCTGGTCCTATATAGCACCGAAAAGGGTTCCACTATTGTTACAAGCCAAAGAACCCCTTTATGGTACTAAATAGAACCCTTTTTGCTAAGAGTGTACATTGTAAGCTGTATGCAGAAGTCAGTATAAAGGCACACTTTCCCAGGTGAATGACATCCTACCTGTCCGATGTCGATGGATGGGTTGATGCTCCGGCCGATATCGGCGACGAGGTCTGTTCTTACAGTCTGAGTAAAAGATAGAAATTTGATTTTAATTGATTAAAGGAAAACTTGAATGTGGTACATTAACACTTCATAGGTTCTTCATAGGTTCCTTAGCTACAGCAACTAAGATAACTCAACCTTAAGAGGTCCTTTGCATGATTGAAAGTTTCTTCTCTAAGCTGGAGACTTGTTGTATTAGGTTCTTTAAAG